TCCAGTGTATCTGTACTGTATATGCTACCTGCCTGTTAGTCACTTAGTAGCTGTCTTGGTTATCCAATTGATTGTTGTGTTCAAGTCACCCTTATTTTATTTAAAAATGGCCCCATAGAAATGCTGACAATGTGGATATGCCAAAGTAAAACAGTAAAGTGCTTCCTTTAAGTGAAAAGGTAAAAATCGAAATAAGAAAAAAAAAAAACAATTGTATGCTGATGGTCCTAAGATCTATAGTAAGAAGTAATCTTCTATCTACGAAATTGTGAAGAAGAAGGAAAAAGAAATCTGTGCATGGTATATATAGGGCTTAGTACTATCCATGATTTCAGGCATCTACTGGGGGTCTTAGAACATACCCCTTGCAGATAAGGAATGACTACTGTAACTATAGAATATACACAAAAGAAATTGAGAAAGGAACTTCATTGTTTCACTACAAAAAATCAACTAAACACATAAGAAGATAATAGTGCAGAAAATGAGGGACAATACAAATAGCAAAATGACAGAATTAAGCCCCTTCTCATCAGTAATTACTTTAAATGTAAATGGATTCAATGTTTCAATCAAAAGACAGAGATTGGTAGAAAACCCTGATCTGACCATATGCTTTCTACAAAAGACTCACTTTAGAGCCAAAGACACAAATAGATTGAAAGTGAAAGGAGAGAAAAAGATATTCCATGCAGACAGTAGCCACAAGAGAGCAGGGATGGCTATATTAATATCAGACAAAATAGACTTTGAATCAAAAAAAGTCTACAAGAGATGAGGAAGAACATTATATATTATAAAATGCTCAATATAGCAAGCAGATAGAACAATTATAAACATTTGTGTACCTAATAACAGACTATCAGTATATAAAAAACTTTAGAAGAAAACAGAAAATCTTAATGACCTGGGATTAGGCAAAGAGTCTTTAGCTGTGACACCAAAAGGTTGATCCACAAAAGATAAAATTGATGAATTAGACTTCATTAAAATAAAAAACCTTTGCTCTGTGAAAGATACCTTGTTCCAAGAATGAAATGATAAGCTATAGACTTGAGAAAATATTTGCAAATCACATATCCAACAAAGGAACTGTATCCAGAATATATAAAGAACTCTCAAATTTTCAACAGTAAGAAAATAAATGACCCAACTAAAAACTAAGCAAAAGGCTTGAACAGATACTTTACCAAAGAGGATATATAGATGGCAAATAACCAAATGAAAAGATGTTCAACATCATTAGCCATTAAAGAAATGCAAATTGGCTGGGGCACAGTGCCTTACACCTGTAATCCTAGCACTTTTGGAGGCCAAGGCAGGAGGATCACTTGAGGCCAGGAGTTCAAGACCAGCCTGAGCAACATAGTGAGAACCCATCTCTACAAAAAATAGAAAAATCAGCCAGGCATGATGGCATGTGCCTGTAATCCCAACCACTCTGGAGGCTGAGTCAGGAGGATCACTTGAGCCCCAGAGTTTGAGGTTGCAGTGAGTTACGATGACACCACTGCACTCTAGCCTCGGCAACAGAGCAAGACCCTATGTCTCTCTCTCTCTCTCACATGCACACGCACACACACACACACACATACACACACACACACAATGCAAATTAAAACCACAATGAGACACCACTACACACCTATTAGAATGACTAAAATAAAAAAAATAGTAATAATTTTAAGTGCTGTTGAAGAGTAACTGGAAATGCTCATACATTGCTGCTGGAGATGTGAAATGGTATAGCCCCTCTGCAAAATGCTTTGGCAGTTTTTAAATTAATTTCAACATACACTTACCGTATGACCCAGCAATCTCACTTCTAGTTATTAATATTCACCCTAGAGAAATGAGAACTCATGTTCGCATAAAAACCTGTACATGAATGTCTGTGGCAGCTCTAGAAATAATCCAATGTCCTTCAACAGGTGAATGGGTAAGCTATTGTATACTCACACAGTGAAATACCATTTATCAATAAAAAGGAACTGCTGATATATGCAACAACATGGATAAATCTCAAAGGCATTATGCTGTGTGAAATCATACATATGATTCTATTTATATGACATTCTGGAAAAGACAAAATAACAGAGGGAGAAAACAGATCAGTGGTTGCCAGGGATTAGGAATGGGGGAGGGTGGGACTACAAAGGGACAGTATGAGGCAGTTTTTGGAGGGTGACGGAACTGTTCTGTTTCCTGATTGTGGTGGTGGTTACATGAATCTATTCAGATATTAAAATTCATAGAGGTGTACACCAAATAATACCATATGTTAAATTAAGAAGTGGAAAAGTTACAGGAATGAATGTATACTTGCAAACTGAAATAACTACTTTGAACGAAATTAACATTCCATGAGGGCATGAAAGGACAGATACTTTGTCTTGGGGGTGTGTGGGGGGGGACGGTGGGCATCAAGAGTGTTTTTCCTGAGGAAGTGATGATGGAGCTGGATTCTAAAGAATGATTTATAATTTACTTGGGCTAAATGAAAACTGATTCACACAGAAAGGTTTGCATGTGCAAAGGCCCTGTGGCAAGAGGAAGATGGCTGGTTTTCATCTAAAACTGATTAGAGCATAGGGGGTCTCCTGGGGTGGGGGTGGGAGAAGTGGTGATGGGGAGTGAAAGTCAGGGAATGGAGTAAGAGAGTCAGATTATGCTGGACTAAGGGTTTGCTCTAGGCAGGGGTGTGGGGAAGCGCTGTTGACTAGCCTGGGAATTAACTGAATTGTGGAACATCTCTGTAGAGAAATAGTTAAAACAATTGACCTAAGAATGAGAGTTTAGATGTCCCCTCTCAGCCAGAGAGCAAGATAATGAGACCCCCCCCCCCAGGGCCATGCAAGAACAGGGATTGGATTCTCTGTAGTCCAGAGAATGGACTGCTACCGAAGGTTTCAGATACCATATGGGGCCACATTTATAGTAGACCCTAAAGTACCCTCTCCTGAGTCCTCTGCTTGGTTTCAGGGTGATACTAGCAGCTGAGGATGCCCACTAAGCTTTCTGAGGGGCTTGAGGACTTCGATAGAAGAGGCTTCTCATGTACTATCCACAGGGCCCAGGTGATCTAGTCTAGTCATCTCAAATACTTGTGACAATGATGAGGTATTTTTCAGATGGGCAGCAGAATTCCTCACTCTAGACCACCTCACTCTTTCCCAGGCTCCAGTGCCAGGGCTCCCTCCCCCTTTCCAGGCATCAGGGCCTGCCTTGTTCAGGGCTGGGGATGGGGGGCAGAGAATGACACAGATCAAATTTATAAGTTGTCAGTTGACCATTTAATGGAAGTCTGTACTTAATAATCTTTGCAAAGTGAATACCCCCGAATTTGTTCTGTGGTGTAATAAGGGCCCAAGAATGGTTTACGTACAACCACTAGACACACAGGTTCCACTTAGCATGAAACTAGGCACTTTACCTGCCAAATTTAGATAGTATTATCATCCTCCCTATTTTAGAGATGAAGAAAACTTGAAAAGTCACAAAGCTAGAAAATGGCAGACCAAAGACCTGGATCAAGGATCGCCCCAACCTCAATGGCTTGGGCCATTAATTCTCAAACTTCAAATTTACCAAAAATGCAGATTCCCAGCCCCACCTGAGAATGGCTGACTCTCTGAGCCCGGATCCAAGCTGAGGAATCTGCATTCCACAAACACTACAGGTAACTCTAACAGGTGACTCCACGGGTTCCACTCCACCGGACCTCTCTCTCTCTAACCCAGGAGCCCTTAGGCTGTGCCAAGGAGTCAAGTAGCAGACGTTGGGGGAGGGGCAGGGCCCAATCTGAAGAATTTAGGAGATTTTGCAAATGACCTGAAGCCTCCGCGGAAGTGCAACACCGCAGGAGTCTGGGGAGCGGGTGCCTCAGAAGGCGCCAGAGACAGGGCCAGGCCGTCTGGGGGTGCTCGGCCCAGCGCCTCACACTCTCACCTGCTGCGAGGTGCGCCCAGGGTCCAGACTGGCCGATGAATATGTATATCTGCCGCGCCTCCTTCCTTCCGAGGACTTTCACTTTCCCCCTTTCACAAAATTAAACACCTACCCCCACCCAAGCTGGGTCCCAGCGAATGGGGAGGGCGCGGAAGTCGGGCCCCTGCCCGAGGAGCCGGCCCACCGCCGCCGGGTCGGAAGCGGCCGTGCAGGTGACGGGGCGGCCCCCTGGGCTCGGCGCGGGGAGGACTGGAGGGCGCTCTGCGGAGCGGAGGCGGCCGGGGAGGGCCGCGACGCCTCCCGTCGGCCTTCCCGCCCCGGTGGGGGCTCACCGCCGCCCGCCGGCACCCGGCACCTGCGCGGCTCGTCCGGGCGGGGGCGGACCGGCTTCGGCCCGGGACCCTCAGCCCACCCCCGCCCGCCGCCGCCGCGCCCGCGCCCGCGCCGGGTCAGCGAAGGGTTAAGGAGCTCGCTCCCTCCCCTCCGCGCCCTCACCCTTGGAAAGTCCCCGAAATGACGTTTCAACCCGACAATTAAAAAAAGGGTTTAATTATAGAGACAGGCTTTGGGCGCTGGAACAAACCCGGTCGGTCGGCGGGGCCGGTAAACAACTCGGGAGCGAGCGGGCCGGGCCAGGCCGCCTCGCGGGGCCCGCGCCCCCAGGGAGGAGGGGAGGGCAGGGCCCGCCGGGAGTTGGAAAAGCGGAGGAAATTCGAGGAATCGGCTTTCTCATTGGGGGAAAAATAAAAAAAATCCCAACACTTTTTAGCCAGCCTGGGACTCCGAGGCCGCGTAATAGTGCCCCTGGCCGTTCCCGCAGCTTTGCGGGGGGGTGGGGGGAAGAGGCACCGCCCGGAGCGCGGGCACAGCCGGTGCGGCGCGGGGACGGGCCCTGCGCCGGGAAGGGGCCCCGCGCGCTCCCCTTCCCCCCTTGGCTCCTCCACCCCCTCCCCGATCCTCCCCAGCTGAGCTTCGCGAGCTCTTGGGAGTTAAAGAGCAGCCGGCCCCTTTTGGGGGTGGAAACGGGGTGGGGGGGGATAAAAAAAACTGAAATAGCTTCACATCAGAACTGAGACTAACCTTGTGGTTTTAACGCACACCCTGCTCTGTCCTGAAATCTGGAACTCATTACTTCATCACCCAGAAACTGCACGAAACCGCCCCCCCACCCCCACTGGAGCTGGGGAAAGGAACGAGCAAACATCCCTTTAAGAAAGAAACCTCTACTTGAATGATTTAAATTAAGGTGGATGGAAGTTATTTCCCTTTCTGGCGCTTGCCAGATTTCAAGTAAAGCTGAAAAAAAATGGGAGCAGGGGGAGGGAAGCAACAGGCGGCTGGACAGCAGAAGAAAAAGCAAGGGGGCAGCAGCCGGGTTGAAATGGGGGCCATCAATTTAAGTCAGAAAGGAAAAATAAAAGCAGACCCAGCTTGGGTGTCACGTAGGTTCGTGGCTGCAGCAAAAGTCGTGTTTCGTAAAGTTGAAAAACAACCGGTTCCTCTAACTGTTGTGATTTGGAAGGTTTCCCAGCGTTTGCCCGGAAGTTGACGAATAAATAAGAAATGCAATAAAAATGGGGGTGGAGGGAATGAGAGTGCGACTCGAGCGATCTCCTCGGCCCGCCCAGTCCTCTCCTAAGAAACGTGCTCATAATGGGGTGACCTAATTACATCGCAATGGAACTCCCTCTTAGCCACTCGGCGCACCGGGTTTCATAACAGACCCGGCGGCCTCGAGTGCCGAGAAGGGACGTGCAGGGCTGACGAGGCGGCGGGGCCCGCGTGGAAATAGGAAAGAAACACAACCCCACAATTTCCGCCTGGGTCTTCACTCCGGCACCGGGGCGAAGGCGCAGGGAGCGGGTGGGGAGCACGTTAGCAACTTTTTATCTGGGTGGGCAGGGGACACCCAAACCTAACAGCAAATAAATACATGTTTTACGGTTTTTAAGAGAGTAATACTGGACTGAGGGCCCCTCTGTTTCGTGGACCTCATGTTCCCTCCCGCCCAGAGCAGCGTGACAAGCCATATGTTCCGTTCCCGCGGGGGCCGGGGAGAAGCAACAATAAGTTCAAAGTGTCGCCTCCCTCCACCTTCGTTCTTACCAAAGTAACTTTTTTCATTGTTCTAACGTCTGGAGGTGTGTGGAGGGGGGAGGAGGGGAAAGGTTGCTGTGCGGCCCGAAAGTCAGAGCGCGTGGAAAGTCATGCTCGGTGTGTTTTTGGGGGCAGGGAGGTAGAAGAAGGGGCGTTCGTGAAGGATTCAGGGTTTTCTTCACTAAAAAGTTTAAATATTGGATGCGTTTAAGAAACGCCAAGCCTAGGCCTGCTAAAACAAACAAACGGCCCGGGCTGTGGTCTTTTTCCGCGATGCCCCCCCCCTTCCCGCCCACACTCGGAGTGCAGCGGCTGCAAAGCAAGCGCGAGTGTAGACGCGTGCGGCGCGCTAAATCTAAACCGTGCAGCGCTCGCCCCCGCCAGGCCGGGTCCTCCTGGGGAAAAAGTTTCCCCAGTCCAGCCCACCCCCGCCTCACTGAAAAAAAAAAAAAAAACCCAAAACCCAACACTTAAAACCCTATAGTTGGACGTTTTGTGCGTCCCAAAGTTCCAGTCTCCTCGCTCAGCCGGGTATGCGGAAGGGAGCCGATGCGGAAGTCGGGAAAAGGTAAGCAGTGCGGGCACTTGGAGAAGTTTCAAGGCAGACCAGCTCAAGATGGAAACCGCAGCCCGGGCGCTAAGGACGGGCTCCGGCTCCCGCTGGCAAAAAGAGAAAGTCGAGCCCGCCTTCCTGCCCGACAAGAAAACAACACAACAACTAGAACCCCGAAGGGGGTGGAATGAGTGATGTCACAGAGCCGCGCTCCGAGGTTGACAAAGGGGGGGGCGCGCACCTCCCCCTCTGCGCCGCGCGCGGCCCCACAGGGGCGCCTGAAGCTCTGGGGAGCGAAGCCGGCGGACTCGAAACTTTTCCTCTTTAAGAAAAAAAAGTTGTACGAGGCTCGGAGTGGGGTTTTTTTTTTCCGCCTTCTTTCCTTGTCTCCCCTCCCCCTTCTTCCTTTTGAAAGTTTCTACCTCCCACCCCCCTTAGCTTGACCGCATGGCTGATTCAACCTCAGTGTCAATCAACTTTTTTCCCTCCTCTTCCTCATTTAAATGCGTTTAAAGCTCCTCCTCCCCGGCCAATCTGAAACTTTATAAATTGGGCTTTCCGCGCCGCAGCCCGAGAGAGTCAGAAAGGCGAGGGGCGCCGGGAGCTGGCGTGTGGGACTCCAAACCCGAGAGCCGGAGGCTGCGCCTTCCCCGCACCGGGACCTTCGCGACACACCACATACTCGCCCCTGCCCCGAGCGAGCGCCCAGGATGACCACCACTCTCGTGTCTGCCACCATCTTCGACTTGAGCGAAGTTTTATGCAAGGTAAAGAAGGGCGGAGCGTTTGCTTTTTAAAAAGTCTTTTTCTTTTGCCTTAAAAAGGAAGCCCCAAAAGTTTGGGTGTTGGAAAGAAGAGGGTAAAGGGAGATGGTTCTTTTCTCCGCCTGCATTTCCCCCCTAGTTTGAAGGAATTTGGCCCTGTCCTTCCAACTCTTTGAATTTCAGCAGTGCCTAGCGGGGATTACATGTGAATCTGGGGATCAGAGTTTTTGGGGTGCGAAGTTTGCGTGGCAGGGCTGCCCGGGGGCCGCGGAGGTGGGGCCCAGTTGGGGCAAGTTTTGGGTGATTTTTTAGTACAAAACGTGCTGCCTGAGCCAGGGTTCGTTGGTCTGCTCGGTTTCCCGGTGTGCGCTCTGGGTCCCGGCGACGCCGGGAGGGGTTCAACTCTGTCCAGTAACATTGCAGGCCTGTGGGGTTGGGGTCCGGGATACCTTAGGGGAAGTGAGTTTCGCGACGAAATTTTGCTGTGAGATTCGTTCCCCTGTTTTGGAGGAGCTGGGTATCTGCAAGGAAGAAAAAGGCCAAGTTGTAATTCAAAAAGATGTTACAGAGTGACTTTGCAGTGGGGTTTACGTCTGCCCTAGCTTGGCTAGGCTTCCTCCCCCGATCGCTGACCATGCTGCAAACTTTGGGATGAAAGTGGACTTCGGGTTGACCCGCTTACCTGTGTTGCAGAGCACCTCAGTTCGTCGATTTGGGGGGCGGGGGCGGGGCGGTGGTGACAAAATACTGGCCTAAACTCAAGGGTCCTCGCAAGTAAGGATATGCTGAGGCCTCCTTAAAACATACAGCTTGCCAGCCGCTGTTGGAAAAAGCAAGTTTCCAACCTGTAATGTTCCAGCAGTGCAGTTTAAATGTACATAGCAAAAGCCTTTGGATGTTGTTAAATTTTTTTCCAACACCCTCCCCCCAATTTGAAAGGGTGAAGCTGCTAGGCTGCTTTTAATTGCCGAAGTGTTTTGCCTTAAACACGTCGGGTCATGTTGCTCTCTTTTCCCAGCTTGCAGCTCCTGTCGGCGCAGCTGCCAGCGCCCCAGGGCTGCAGGGTTGGGGTGCAGGGACGTTGAGGAGCTGAAGAGCAACATCAAAAAAGTTTGAATTTTCAGCTTCCTTCCCTCCCTGCGCTTTCCCAAACTCGGCTCGCATTCCCAAACTCCACTCGCGCAGCTGCGGGAGCTCCCCAGCACTTCTTCCCTCTCTTCCCGGCTCCTGCTCTTTGATCTATTTCTCTTTCTTTCGCCCCCTCCCCCTGCAGGACTTTTTAAATGAACCTCATTGTTGGAAACCAGCTCTCGACTGGGTTCCTGTAATCCTCTCGGTGGGGTGGTTGCAGTTACAGATTCCCGATCCCCACCCCGCCCATCCTAAGGGACCAACTTTTGGATCTGCACAATGACACCCACATGGGCTGGGAGCCAACTCCCAGGTCCCCCGCCTGATGATACTCTTTCCAAATCTTGGGTATACTTTCTGCAGGTGACCAGGGTTTCATTGGAATAGAAACCTGCCTGTGTTGGCTCTGTCTCCCATCCCTGCCCCCCAGTCTGCTACGACTGGGAGGTAGATGGGGGGATTTGGTGCTTTCCTTTTCCTTCCTATCTGCAGCTTTGCATTAAAGATTAAACACTGGTGCTCTTATCCCAGTCTGCTCTTGCAGCCAGAAGACTAATTGCAAAGGCATCTTCTCAGTGAAGGGAGGTGGGGAACGTTGGGAGAGATCATTGTGGAAGGTACCCCTTCCAGGAACACAGGGGAATGAGTTTTATTTTCGAGAATCTCATCCCTCTCTCCCCCAACCACAGACCAGGCCCCCATGTCTTCCCTCCTTACCTCTCAAGAAAAGGCATAGGCAGTCAGTAAACCTTTTGCCAGAAGGGAACACTTCTGAAGGAGGAAGTTGGGAGTCTTAGGCCAGGTTGTGGGGGAGGGGCGAATCAATTAAGCAGGACTGATTAGAAAGGGACCTAACCTACTCAGGATATTCAGTCTCCTCTCTGAGGCCTATCCGTTTTTGTTAGGGGAGGGGAATCTAGAGAAGTCTGCATTGTGTGAGATTTTGAGTTGAAGAATCTATTTGGGTGGTGAAGAAGTTGCATTTTATAGATAAAAGTGGTAGCTTTGGGACAGGATATAGGGGTGCATTTCAGGAGTCAGCATGGAGCAGGGTCCATACATAAAATAATTTGTCACACAGTCCAAAATTTTGTTGTTTCTCATGCATGGGGCCAAAATAAACCCAGGTGGATGGTCTGTGGGAGCAAGAGAGGGAAGGGGCTTGCTAGGGCAGGGGTGGAGAGATCGTGGAAGGAGCTGCCTGTAGTGGGACATCCTAGTGGATGTCACCATTCCTAACTATCCTTTCTCTTCTCTCTCTTCCTTCCAGGGTAACAAGATGCTCAACTACAGTACTCCCAGTGCAGGGGGCTGCCTGCTGGACAGGAAGGCAGTGGGCACCCCTGCTGGGGGGGGCTTCCCTCGGAGGCACTCGGTCACCCTGCCCAGCTCCAAGTTCCACCAGAACCAGCTCCTCAGCAGCCTCAAGGGCGAGCCAGCCCCAGCCCTGAGCTCTCGGGACAGCCGCTTCCGAGACCGCTCTTTCTCAGAAGGGGGCGAGCGGCTGCTGCCCACCCAGAAGCAGCCGGGAAGCGGCCAGGTCAACTCCAGCCGCTATAAGACGGAGCTGTGCCGCCCCTTCGAGGAAAATGGCGCCTGTAAGTACGGGGACAAGTGCCAGTTCGCACACGGCATCCACGAGCTCCGCAGCCTGACCCGCCACCCCAAGTACAAGACGGAGCTGTGCCGCACCTTCCACACCATCGGCTTCTGCCCCTACGGGCCCCGCTGCCATTTCATCCACAATGCTGAGGAGCGCCGTGCCCTGGCCGGGGCCCGGGACCTCTCCGCCGACCGTCCCCGCCTCCAGCATAGCTTTAGCTTTGCTGGGTTTCCTAGTGCCGCTGCCACCACCGCTGCCACCGGGCTGCTGGACAGCCCCACCTCCATCACCCCACCCCCCATCCTGAGCGCTGATGACCTCCTGGGCTCACCTACCCTGCCCGATGGCACCAATAACCCTTTTGCCTTCTCCAGCCAGGAGCTGGCGAGCCTCTTTGCCCCTAGCATGGGGCTGCCCGGGGGTGGCTCCCCGACCACCTTCCTCTTCCGGCCCATGTCCGAGTCCCCCCATATGTTTGACTCTCCCCCCAGCCCTCAGGATTCTCTCTCGGACCAGGAGGGCTACCTGAGCAGCTCCAGCAGCAGCCACAGTGGCTCAGACTCCCCCACCTTGGACAACTCAAGACGCCTGCCCATTTTCAGCAGACTTTCCATCTCAGATGACTAAACCAGGGTAGGGAGGGACCCCCTGCCTACCCCACCCCCAACAACCCCGCAGCCACATCCCAGACCCTTACCTCCCTACCCATCCTTACAGCCCCTACATTAACAAGGTTAAGCTCAACCCCTTTCCCCCAGAACCTTGAAATGTCCCTTCTCCCTCTCCCATTACCCCACCTAACATAAGGACAAGTCAATTTGTCAGTAGCTTCTTCTGGCTTGAAACCCCCTCCCTGGATTTTATAGCCCACTTACCATGCATAACAGACAAGTCCCATATTTGTCAGTAGATGCCTTTTTTCTGGCTTAAGCCTTAAGTGCCAAATCACAAAAGAAAAAGCAGTAACAGTTTACAGAAGCAACTTAGTGCCTTGTAATCTAACTTTGTCACTGTGACTACATTACCTCTTCAGCGCCAGAGGGCACCCGTGGGCCTCCCGGAGCCTCTGCCCATGGGGAGGGGGAGGGGCAGGCCCAGAACCAGCAGCTCCCTCCACTGGCGACACAAGTGCACCTTCCCTGCTTCAGTCTCCCGCACACTTCCTCCTCCCCTCTCTTCCCAATATCAGCCCCCTCAGAGTTGTTGCCAGACTTGGAGTTTTGGGGAAACCTGTCTTGACATTCAAAACCTTTTTCTTCCCAACCTGAACCCCTGTTGACTAATCTTGCCTGGGTTTGTGGAGGTCTGCAGGAAGGCAGGCTGAAAAAGTGGACGAAGATTTTGACTTAAGTGGGACTTTGTGATTTTAATTTTTTCTTTTTTTAAGTGGGGAGGAAGGGGACGCTAGATGGACTATGAGAGACTTGATTTTGGTGCTAAAGTTCCCCAGTTCATATGTGACATCTTTAAAAAAAAAATAACAACAAAAAAAAAATGAGAGAAAAGCTAAAAAAAAATGTAAGGGGTGAGCAGTTAATGGTATTCATTCCACATACATTATCTGTGTAAAACGATTTCCTGTAGAAGTAGCTTTAATGGTTTTTGCTCTAGAATACCGTAGGTCTATCCTTAGAGCACTCACGCCATGCTTTTTTCCCTTGGTTTTAAACTTCATATAACTTTCAGAAATTGGAGAGCAAAAATTTTGCTTGTCACTGCACATCAATATAAAAAAGCTTATTTAACTTATCAAAACGTATTTATTGCCAAACTATGCTTTTTTTTGTTAATTTTGTTCATATTTATCGGGATGACAAATCCATAGAATATATTCTTTTATGTTAAATTATGATCTTCATATTAATCTTAAAATTTTGTGACGTGTCTTTTTCCTTTTTTTCCACAGTTTTAATATATTATTCTTCAACGACATTTTTGTAACTTTACACTTTTTTTGGTTATTTTATTTTAAAAAAATGAAAAATTAATTTAAAAAAATGCAAAAAACTGTTGGATTATTTATTTTAGAAATTCCCCCCTTTGTGTTGGACTGCAAATTGAGTTTCTTTCTCTTTAGGCCTTTTACAACTAGGACTGAGAATGTATGTAAAAGTTCTGTGACAGTACAGAAGGAAAACAACTTTTTATGTATAGCTTCTAAAAGGGAAAAAAACAAAAAAAGAGAGAAAACCCTTTGACTTCCACGTGCCCATCTCAAGACATTCCACTCGCAGATTTGAGGTTCTGGATTCCAGGTTTGGAGTTTTCCAATGTTAATGTAAACAGAACTGGCACACACACATAAGATGAATGTAATTATTATTCCTCTTGCTGGTCACTACCGTCGCTTTCTATTTCTCTTTCTTTGTGTGAATTTATTTAAAAGAAAAAAAACTTTTTGTAACGACTATTTGCAGTTTAAAAAATCAATAAACCCCGTTTTTTCAAGAAACATTGATGGTGGAGCTGGTTTTCCTTAGTTTGTGGTTTGACTTGACCAGTCACATACCTTGCAGGTCCTGGGGAGGGGGAAGGGACAGTGGTTGGTTTCCCCTCATGCTTACAGCTAAAGCTATAGCTCCAGTTGTTGATGCTGGAAGTTTGCTGAGCTTAGAGGGGATGGGGTGTAGGTTTTCTGTGAAGGAGCCTGCACTTGCTCCTGAGAAGACCGCCCAGTGTGTCAGTTGTTGACCGAGTCTGGCTTGCCACACCTGGGTACCCTCAGAAGTCCTTCCCTGGAGCCAAGGCTCAGGGGCTTCCAGTCTTCCCTGTCCAGCCTGCCTACCCTTTGGGTGATGTTTGGGGTGCTGAAATGATGAAGGGGGACATAGCAATGGCACACTCACAAGCCTGGATTTGAGTGAGTTATTTTGGTGCTTTGAGCTCATTTTTCCCCCCAGGAAATTAACCTCAAGTTTGAACCTCTAAACACCTACCTGCAGTGGGTATAAGGAAGCAATGCATGCTTGGAGAGGGGCATCCAGGGTGGTGAGGGGCTCAGTCACAAGGGACTGGGGATTGGGTGGTTCCACTTGGATTTGATATGTGCGTCTGTCGGGAGGGCTATTAAGGAGGAGTGGGTATTAACACTGGCCGACGGAACGGAACGTCACAAGTCACCAATAGTTCCTGCCACCTTAGTCCTTAGTAGGTCCTGGTCACACCTCTGATGCCATGGAAAATAGGTAGATTATCATCTTAGAATCGGTGGGCCCCTCTCCAAGTCATATTTCTCCTAAAAAGAAGAAAAAAAAAAGAAAGAAAGAAAAAAAGAAATGGTGGGCCCCAGCCAAGGCCAGATGACCACTTATAGGTGATGTTTTACCTGTCAGAGGCGGGTTGGATCTTTCTAAAAATCTGGTCCTTAGGGGGATTTCTTTTTGAGAAGACAGATATGTTGCTATTTGAGGCTCAGTCTTTGTTTATATCCAGTAAGTTTGGGGAGGTAAGCTTAATTTCCATTTCAATTCCACCAGGTCTTTCTCAAATGCAGTTAGGTCTGCTGCAGACATTGGCCAGGCCAGGGTTGTCCCTGAGACTGGGAAGACCTCCCTGTACCCTCTGGACTCTTCTTTCCTGAGCAGCAGGTATCTACTGGGGGCCAGGGGTGTGAGGTAGAAAAATAGGGACTATTACCTGTTCCAGAGCAGGGCCTGGTGGTAGGAAGAGGGAAACTTTTCAGCCCTTTCTAGGATTGGAGTAAACCTAGGCCTTTTGTCCCCTAAAGAGGCAGTGACTTTGTGTGTTTGGGGTGGGTGGTGGTGGTGGCATGTGATCATCCTCTCTGACGAAAGGCAAAGAAGACATTTAATCATTCACCTTGAGCTCTTTCTCTGCAGGCACACATGAGCATGTGGCAGACAACTTTCTAGGTCTCCTCTCTTGGTGACACTGGTTAGGTTCCCAAAGACCTGAGCATACCTTCCAGCCAGCCCCACATTTCCTCCTTTGTCAGTTACTTGATTTAGAAAACAAAGATAGAGACCTTGACTCCAGGAAGCCCTGCAGGGTGAGGTTTGGCTGCAAAGGCACAGGGAGGCTCCCCGCCACCTGGGGAAGCTCCATGACCTAAGTGTCACCTGGACAAGTTACACAGGCTGGGATTTAGCCCACCCAGGCCCATGTGTGGTGGCCACAAGAGCCTGATTTTGTACCATCTGGACCTTAAAGGTAGAGGAGATGGGCCCAAAGCAACCCAAGAAAGGAGACAGCAGAACACTTTCAGGGCCACTAGAAGATGAAGAGGCCTCAGCAGCAGTCTGTGCTCTGGGCTGGCGGGCAGGCCAGGGAGGTGTGAGCCCAGAGCTGGCAGGGAACCTCATCTCTGAGCTTCCTCACAGCAGGGGAGGATAGGAAACACACAGAGGGAGCAGAAGGTAAGGCTTCCAAAGGGAAGTGGGGCAGGAAAGGTAAGGCCTTGCTGTGTCAGTCAGTGTCCTGGGACACAGGGCCTCCTCCCCCAGCCCCTCTCTGAGGCATCTCTGCACGAGGTCTGTCCTGGGTAGGTAGGGCCTCCTGGCTGCTGGCCCTGAAACCCACAGTCTGGTTGTGGGCTGAAGGTCTTCCCTTGGAGCAGCTCAAAGAAATAAGCTGTTTTGGCCACTGGGCAATGACCTGCCTTTCCTGGCCTGGAAGCCTCGTTGGCAGGAGGAAGGATGGGGGTCTGCTCTGCCTCAGTGACACCCTAGTGAAAGGAGGGCCTTTAAGGTCCAACAGAGTGGGGAGCAGATGTAGGGTGGGCACAGTGATCATGGCAGGGGTAAGGATCCGTGGTATGAAGGAAGGAGGGGTGCCGGATGGAGCCCTTGGACCAGGGTTCAAATCCTGCTCCCATTATACAAACTTGTGCCTTGGGTAAATGACTTAAGCTTGGACTTTTCAGCTGCTTCTCAAGGGGGTGCTGTGAGGATCGAGTGACCCATTAGTAATGACAGCTCTTCATAAGTGCCAGGTAGTATTCTAGGAATGTCATGTGTATTACTAACCCATTTGATGATCATAATGAGCCCACAGAGGGAGTTCTCTACTATCCCCATTTTACATATGGAGAAACTGGGGTGCAGAGGAGTTCATTAATTTGTCACACAGGAGACAATGTCAGGCTTCGAACCCAGGCAGGTTAGCTCCATCATTGCATTTCACCACTGTGCCACAGTGTCTAGGCCGGCATGGGAAGAATGTTTGGCACGGTCTCTGCACACAGTGACCGCAGATCAACCAGTGTTAGTTCCCGTCCCTCTCGGCCTTTCGTGGAGATTCTGCAGGAGCATGAGAGGCAACCAGTTGGATTAGGTGCCTGTGCACACACCCCCTCCATCGAGTTCCATGATCTCATGTCCCAAGGGGCCCTGGATTGGCACATTTGGAGGAGGGGGGGCGGAGGGGGCAGGCCATCCTCTTGGACTTTCTCCTTCTTTGCCTGCTGTTGAGGTGGCTTCTGTTAATGATTGACAGACCAAAGGGTGCCTCGGGGCTGCCTGCGGGGGGTGGGGTGGTGGTGGTTGGCCCTGTGCCCTTCTTCCCCCAGGGTCTCCCACCCCTGCACCTAGCCAAGCATTTAATCATGTCTGGCTGGACTGACTGGAGCGCTACCTGAGCTCAGAGGGGGAGGAGGCGGCTAGGGCAGCCCGGCTGCTGGCTGCCCCTTGCTGCCTTGCATGTGGCCCTTCCAAGGCCTGCCGATGGCTTCCTGGGCAGCAGGCAAGGATTCAGAGAACTGGGGTGCAGGGCAAAACCTTGGCCTTTTCTTGAGGTCAGGTCAGCACTGAGGGTCCCACCTCCTGGCGGGTAAAGCTTGGCTTAAAGAGAAACCTGGCCCAAGGGCCTACAGTGCTTTCCTGGGGAGTCCCAAGTGGTGGCATCTGCGTTACTGGCGTGGGAAACTAGTCCCCAGGGAGCCAGGCAGGGGCTGCATGGGAGAGCCAGCTCTCGGTCAGCGGACAGGACACCTCCTCCACGTCCAGGCTGTTTGCTGTTGTTTCGAAACGCTGGCAAAGCCAGGGTCTCAAAGTACAGGGCTGTGAGTGATGACTGTGCCTGCGCTATCAGCTGGGGGTACAATGAAAATAAATACTGGCAATGGCCAAAACTAAGGCAATTTTCTCACCACCTGGAGCTAGTCAGGTAGCTGCCCCCACTACCCCGACTCCCAGTTGTACCTCGGGGGAAAAGCAGCTCATGACCACATGGGGCGGAGTTCATTTCTGCTGATCCCAGTGCTCTGGGGCTAGGGGGGCCTCTATTGCCCAGGGTAAGGAGCTGGTTTGGGAGTCAGAGGGACACAGGTTCAAGTGCCTTGTTGGGCTTCAAGGTTACTCTGTGACCTTAAGCTAAAAATTTAGTAAGCAGCTTAGAGCTCAGTTTCCTCACTTATAAATGGGATGGTGATGATGATGATTACATCTACTGCAATGGAGAGGCAAACTGGCACAGTCACACAGTTGGGTATTAACTCATTAAATCCAGTCCTAGATCTGTGACCCTGCTCAACCACTTCCAAGCTGTGTGACCTTGGGCAAGTTACGTAACCTCTCTGAGACTTATTTTTCTCCTCTAAGCATGGAGTACAGGAAGCATCTGCACCCTGCCCACATTACAGGGCTGTGGTGAGGATCAAGGGAATACTACACAGCTACATAAAAGAGCAATAGCTGATACATGACAACATGGGTGCACTGCAAAAACAAAGTTGGGTGAAAGAAACTATCCACAAAAGAGCACATATCGTAGGAGTCCATTTGTGCAAAGCTCATAAACAGGTAAAACTGATATATGACAATAGAGATTTGATTAGAAGATAGAGCATACATATAAAAGTTCATGGAGCTACTCCCTGAAGATTTGGGCACTTTACTGTGTGTAAGTTATACTTCAAAAATAAAAAGTTGTTCTGAGTGTTAAATAATAATGTGTAAGAAAAAAAAGAAGACGAAATTCAGTACCTGGCCTATTATAGGCACTTAATAAATCATGGCTGGTTTTTGTAATAGCAACAACCGGAGGATTTTGGTGCTATTCTGGTCCCCTTTTATAGAAGGAGGGAATGGGCTCAGAGCAGGTGAGTAGCCTGCCCAGGGGCAGGGGGTGGGAACCCCAGCAGGATGGCTCTCAAGCCGGCCCAGCTCCCCACTACCCTACCCTGTACCACCCCTCAGTGATCAGGTGTTATTTCTGTAGAAAAGCCAAACTCACGGTAATCCAGGCACAAGCAAATGGACTAATTAGCAAGTGCAATCATCCACATGATTAGAAGAGTTTTTAGAGAAGTTTTAGAGAAGTTTTTCCTCTTTGCAGATTTGAAATTGATCTCCTATAGCTAGTCAGTACCTCCTACCCTTTGTAGTAGGTAAAGGGAAGCCAAATTGAGGGCCAGCTGGGCTCTAAGGAGGGCTAGAGAGAGGAGAGCCTCGACTGGCAGGTGGGCCAGCACCAAGTGGTCACTGTCCTAGGAGTCG